TTTCTCCATCTGTAAAATGGAGTCACCATCCACTGCCTCTTTTGTAGAGGCTAGCGACCCTGCAGGCAAGGGAGCTGGGGGAGCAGGGGTGGAGTGGGATGATGGTGGTAGGTGGACTGGCACTGCCCTCTGGTGGCTGCAGCGAGAGTTGCCAGCACCTGTGCTGGGACCTAGAAGATGCAGTCACCTGGAAGCCTGCAGGGTCCCCTTCATCTCTGTCTTCTCCGTTTCACTTCCTCCTTCTTCACCTGAAACTTCCCAGGGACCTCAGGGCTGCATTCTCAAAGGCAGGGATAATTCAATTCAGCAAACACCTATTCATCAAAAATTGAATGGGCCCCTACTGTATATTCTGTTCTGTGCTTGGTGTTGGAGATGAAGAGATGTCCAAGACAGTGAGACTGTCCAGGAAGCTGGTGGCTGGAGAGAGTGCTGGGGCAGCCACTCGACGGAGCTGCGCCCTTTCTGAAACAGTAGCATCTGTTCGTCCTTCTCTTACTTGGCTCTCTTTCTTTCCCACAATGTATCACCGCAGGATATCCTAGGTGGTGTCACCATGTGACATTATAGGTGGTGATACCTTGTCTGCTTTCACTAGAGCAGAAGTTCCTAAGAGGAGGAGCTTGTCTTGTTCATCGCTGTATCCTCAGTACCTAGAACAGTACCAGGCCCTTAGAAAGGGTTCAGTAAAGACCTGTCAAATGAATGAATGAAAGTACGACTGGTCCCAAGAGTGGGTAGAAGTCCCGTGTGGCTGGAGTGGAAGGGATGTTAGGGGATGGCAAGGGTGCAGGTGGGTGAGATGGGAGCCCCAAATAAGAAGAGCTTGAATGTGCTGCCCAAAAGTTGGTGGCCACCCTGACAGTAAAAGTACGTAAGATTGGAATATTTGGGGCGACAAAGCAGGAGAGATGCTGACAACTGATTTTTAGCCCTTTTTGTAGAGGATAGGGAATTATCAGGGGACTAATATGTGTCTGTACATTACGATGTTAAAGGTAAGATTTTATATTGGAGAACTTAAAAAATACCTGAGCAAGAGAGCACAGTATTACGATCCCCTACAATGACAGTCACCAACTCATGGCCAACATTGTTTCATCTCTGCCCCCAACTGCTTCCCCTTCCAGTGTTATTGTTTTTTTCATGGAGGTACTGAGGATTGAATCCAGGACCTCGTGCATGCTAAGCATGCACTCTACCACTGAGCTATACCCTCCTCCCTGTTTCAGTGTTATTTTGAAGCAAATCTCAGACATCATTTTATATACAAAAGCCAGTATCCACCTCTGAAAGATTAGGGTACCACTCTGAGGGGAGATGATAATGGGGGAAGCTATGCATGTGTGAGAGCAAAGGATATATAGGGACCTCCACTTTCTGCTGAGTTTTGCTATAAACCTTGAAAAAATTATGCTACGTGAAAGAAGCCAGACACAAAGGCCATGTATTATGATTCCATTTATGTGAAGTGTCCAGAATAGGCAATCCATAGACACAGAGGTAGATTAGTGGTTTCCAGGAGCCTGGGGGAGAGGGGAAGAGGGAATGACTACTGATGGGTATGGGGTTTCATTCTGGGGTGATGAAAATGTTCTGAAATTAGATAGATGTGATGGTTGCACAGCTCTGTGAATATACTAAAACCACTAACTGGACACTTTTAAACGGTGAATTTTATAGTATGTGAATTTTATCTCAATAAAGCTGTTAATTTTTTAGAAGAGTGATAGGGTTATCACAGACTATTTTGTCCCCTTCCTCCCTCTACGATTCGTATGTCAAAACTTACCCCCAATGTGATAGGATTAGGAGGAGGAGCTTGTGGGAGGTGGTAATGTCAGGAGGTTGGAACCCTCATGAATGAGAATTGCGGCCTTATAAGAGACCCCAGAGACCTCCTTCACTCCTTCCATCACGTGAGGACTCGGTGAGAAGATAAGAGGGCTCTCTGTGAACCAGGAACAGGGACTCTCAGCAGACACCTTAATCTTCGACTTCCAACCTACGAAACTCCGAGAAATAAATTTCTGTTGTTCCTAAGCCACCCAGGCTCTGGTATTTTGTTAGAGCAATCAGAACGGGCTAAGACACCCTCTACTGTCTGCCTAGTCCCAGCCGAACAGCCAGAGCCTTCCTGTTAAAACTTAAGTCAGAGCTCATCATTCCTCTGATGTAAGCCCTCCCCTGATTCTAATAAGTTCCATCGGGCTCTGCTGTTACTTTTCTGCCTCCATCACCTACAACCCCCTTCGCTCATGCCATTTTAGCCACTGCGACCTCTTTCTTTAGTCTTTGCATTTGCTGCTTCTCACCCTCTGTCAGTGAATATTCTCCCTGGCTCCCTCCATCCCTCTGCTCTGGACTTAAGTGACTCTTCAGTGAGATATTTCCTGATCACCCTAATATTTAAACTTGCAACCGACAGCCCACCCCCCAGGCCCTTCTGCTTGCTTTTTTCCCCCAGCCTTTGTCACATCGAATATACTATGTGATGGACTTCTTTGTTTATTTTTGGTAGCTCCCCATTGCCTGTGGGCCCTACATGGGCAAAGATCTTTGTCTGCTTTGTTTCATTGATATGTCCCCAACACCTGTCACAATGCCTGGCACAAACTACTTAATAAATGTTTGTTGAGCGAATAGAGTGGAAGTTAATTTAGGGGGATGAGAAGAGCTGAGATGAAAGAAGAGATGAAGTCAACAAATATTAAGGTTCCTAAGATTATAACCATCAAAGATACAGCAGGTGAAAAGCAGAGAAGGCGGCTGTGGATCTCAGATGTTCCATCTTCTTATCCAAAGCCTCTGGCCTGAGTGACCTTTAAAAACTTGGCAGAAGTGCCCTGGAATCTGGTTGAGAAGAGAGGAGAGGAAGAGTGAGCAGGGGCTAGGTGGGCGAGGGTTGGGAGGGGCCTGAATTCCTCAGGGGAACCACTTTTTACTTCCCAATAAGGGGAGTGCATTTTTTTTTTAAACGGAGGTACTGGGGATTGAACTGAGGACCTCCTGCATGCTAAGCATGCGCTCTACCATTAAGTTATACCCACTCACCACCCCCGGTGCATTTTGAGTCACTGTTTCAGAAACAACATAATGAGGGGCCAGGGCTGCTTCTTTGATGAACTGGCAGATGAATCCCTGTGGGGCTGCTGGATTTGGGGAAGGGGAGGTGAATCGGCACCAGGGTTCACTTACCAATCAGGAGTGAGAAACACAGGCACCTGAGGAGAGAGGCTGTCATCTGAGGGGGGAGGGCATGAGTGGGCTGTGTGAGGTGGGGGTGTAGGCTGAGATGCAAAATCCTGTGCAATGAATGATTTCTCCTCCCCTACCCACCCAGACCACCCTGTCACATAGGTACTTTCCATTTTTTCTCCATCAGAGCTCCTTGTTTGTTTCTTTCAGAGGGCTCCCCACACTCTGTCATTACCTTACTTGTTTTCTTGTTTATCTGCCTTCTCCTTCTAGACTCTAAACTCCAGGAGAGCAGTGATCTAGTTTCTCTTGATCCCTGCCCTCGCCTGAGAGCCTAGCACTGTACCTAGTATAATAGTAGGGGCTCAAGAAATGTTTGTCACATGAATGAATGGACCCAGACAGAAGGAAATACTCTAGTCACAATGATTTTCCACTGGAGAGCTGGTGGTGGTGGACGGGTGCTCTGAGCCCTCTTTCTGGGTTGTATCTCTTGTTTCAGACTGTGTCATGGACATTTGGTGTCCAAAGCACGTTGTGAGCACTAACAGCCTCTGTTCCAGGTGCAGAACTTGGGCATAGCCTCTGTCCTGGGCTCTGGCTTGGTGCAGTGGCTTAGGGAAGGCGCTCCTGAATTCCTCAGCTAGGATAGGAATATGAGTGACAGGATGGGCTAGAGATGGATTCTTGTGGATGGGGTTGAATGGGGGATAGAATCACAATAATCTAGAAGAGAGAATGAGGCCTCAACAACAGAGGGGATGAAGAGGAGATGGCACATTTGAGAAACATTTAGCAGGCAAATTAAGTAGGATTTGTTAATTGACGATATTGAAAAGAAGGAAACGGGGCACCAAGAATGATCCTAAGGCTTTAAAAGAATCAGAGCCGCAGCCATCTCTTTTTGGCCTGTAGGGTCCTCTGGTCCAAAGGCACAGACATATCCACTGGACTCTTTTGCTGCCCCACAGTTCATTCATTCAGTCTCGTATGTGTCCCGTCCCTTGCTGCGCCCTAAAGGACACGCTTCCTGCGCTGAAGTGGCGCAGGTCTGGTCCTGGAGAGAGTCACAGTCTGACCACTGCAGCCATCGCATAAAGGATGCCCTGGGGCCTGTGAGGACGGGGTCGGAGGAGTCCTAACGCGGAGACACTTAAGCGGGGTCTCCCGGTAGAACAGGTGTTTGCCAGCGTGGAAGGAGGTAGGCAAAGTGAGCGAGGGCAGAGGTAAAGCACGAGGAAAGGCAATTACGACCAACTAAGAAATAAGAAAGGGAGCTGTTGAGAGGCTCGAGAACTGGGGGTGTGAGCGCGAGGATCAGTGTGTGACGCGCCAGACTGGGCAGTGTGGGGAGACCGTGCGGGAGTTTGGATTTACCTCCCGGTTAACGGGGAAAGACTCAATACGGCCCCAACTCACAAGCCAGATCCAGGAAAGGCAGCCAGAAAGCTCCGGGCTAAAGCGGAGCGAGGGGGTGGCCCCCAGTTAGGGACCTCGGAGTTTCTGCCCCCGAATCCCCGAGAAGCGGCGACTTTGGGCAAAACCATTCTCCGGAGGTGGAGAAGGGGAGAGAAGCGCAGCACTAGGAGTCCAAACCCGCGGAACCAGCTGGAACGTCCACTCGCTTCTTCTCCTTGCTCTTTGCTTCCTTTTGCGCTCTGTTCCGACCCCATTAGCTAGCCCCCATGCGCGACCCCCTCTCCCGGGCACCACCAGTTGCTCCACGGCCGCCCCCTCCCGCGCGTGGTACGGCCCGGCGGGCGCGCATCCAGGCACAGGTTATAAAGGCCGGGCTGCGGCAGGCGACTGCGGACTCAAAATGCGCCCGAAAGAGTCGGGGCAGGGCTGCCCCGGGGACAGGGACAGGCCGGGACACGGGGATCCCGCAGCAGTTACCCCGGTTCCTCCGCCCGCAGCCAACCCCACTCCAGAGCCCTCTGCCGACTCTGAACCCACTTCTGCGCAGGCACCTGCGGCTGGACAGGGAGCTGGATCTGGATCCACATCCGTCTCGGGACCCCAGGTGGGAGCTCGCTCAGCCTCTGAGGCTCGATCGGAGGCAGGAGCCCAGGGCGCGTCCGCATTCTCGGCGGTCCAGGGAAATGCTCAGTCTGTGCCCGACAACTCGGACGCGCAGCGGACCCGCTTCAAATGCCAAGGGCCCTTTGATCCCCGCGCCACTGGCCTGGGGACTGGAAAGGCGGCGGGCATTTGGAAGACGTCGGCTGACTACCTCGGCCGGCGGTCTGCGGTGTCTGGCCCCGAGCGCATCGCCCTTCTTCGGGAGCTTAAGGAAGGTAAACTAAGTCCCCGGGCTCCTGGAGCGGATGGGACTAGGGCAGCTCCAGGGAGGAGGGGGGCCCGTCGGGTCCAGGAGCCCTGTCCACTGTCACAGTCTGCGGTGTCTGTCCTGTCATCCCGTCCCCATAACCTCCTCCCCTTCTGTCGTTCCCTGATTTCAGTGCGTAGGGTCCCGGGGACCGCGCGCTCCCCCGCCCCCGTCTTCGCGCCTGTTGCTGCGGCAGATCTGCGCAGTCTCAGTGCCCCCCTCCCGGGGCTACCGCAGTGCCAGGAGAGGGGCGGGGGGCTGCGGGAGGGCGCTGCCGGGTGCACTCTGAGCCTGCGCTGGCCTGGTGCGCAAGCAACCGGGGCGGGGGTGGGCAGAAGGGGGAGGTTTTGCCAATCTTCTGAATGCCGGGGTTAAGACCGCGCTTTCCCCTCAATCCTGGGGGTAGGCGGACTCTCAGGCAGATGCTGCCTCTCCTCTTCCCTCTGACCCTCTCCTGGGTCTCTGGAGATCTCTGGCTTGGGTCTAGATGCTCAGATGCCTCCTACTCCAGTGCTGGGGAAGTCTTCTCCTCTCCTTTCCATGCGCAACAGGTGCAGGGTGGGTGACTGCGTTTGTTTTTATGATCCATGAGGCTCCCATGAGCCGGCCAAGGCTGCCCTCTGGGGAAGGGGTGATGAGTCAGTCGGTGCTGTACTTCCGCTAGCCACCTCCATCTTCCGAGGTTCCAGGGACCCAGGCGTCTGAGAGCTGGGTTCCACCTGAATGTGTAGTACTGTGATCTCCTTACCTTATCCACACCATCTTAGAGGGAAAAAAAAAGTTAAGTTGGCCCTGGGAGCAGAGAAGAGAGTGCTGAATACTCTGAGGGTATGGAGGGGATGTTGCGGGCAGAGAGGGAGCTCAGTCATCTTCTCCCTTGTGGCTGACCTTTGCTGTTGAGGGCAGGAAACAGTAGGGTGTGGGTTAGCGTATGCCCCATTTTACCTGACCCTGCTGCCCACTTTTCTCTCACAGCGCTGTGTCCTGTCACACCACCGCCAGTCAAGAAGATCACCCAAGAGGATGTCAAAGTGATGTTAAGTTTGCTAGAGGAGGTGTGTGCTGCCTTCCCTATCCGGGCCAGTCCCAGCCTCAGCCAGGCCCCCGTTCGAATTCTGTCCCGCGGGGGTAGGAGGCTTCCTCCTTGGCTACCTCTCTGGGGCTAAGCTGAGGGTACTGCTTATGGAAGGCAGGTAGATGTGGGATGTCCAGGCTGGAAGAGCTCTTAGAGCCATCTGGTCCGATCTGCTCTTTTTCCATTGGGGGAAACTGAGTCAGGCAGGGTTCATGGCAGGCTCTTGTCTAGTACCCTAGAGAACTAGGGGATGGGAGGGTTCCTCTAGTGGCCTAGCTTCCCTCCAACCCCTTGCTTCTCCCACCTGTCTCGGAGATCCCAGAAACCTGGAATGTATTCCCCATGGGTGGGGGTCCCTCTGCAGAGAGAGCGACACCTGAACATGGCAGCTCACGTTGGCCAGTCCCTGGTGCAACAGAACAGTGTTCTGATGGAGGAGAACAGCAAGCTGGAAGCCATGCTGGGCTCGGCCAGGGAGGAGGTAACTGGGCGGGAAGGATCGGGGATGGGTGTATCTCAGGCCTGCCTCCGTCCTGCTTGTGCCAGGACCCATGCCTGCCCCTGCCGGCACCACGACCCAGGACTCCTCCTCCCCTTGCCAGATTTCACATCTCAGACACCAGGTGAGCCTGCGGGATGACCTCCTTCAGCTTTACTCAGACTCTGATGATGATGATGATGAGGAGGAGGAGGAGGAGGATGAAGATGAAGAAGAAGAGGAAGAAGAGGTAGAGGAAGAGGAGGAAGGGGAGGACTATGAGGAAGAAGAGGAAGAGGAGGAGCAGCAGCCTGACCATCCCTACGAAACCCCTGAGCCGTAAGTGTCCTGCCTTTGCACCTGGGCGGCCCCTTCCCTTCTTGGAGCCTCTGTTTCCGTGTTTGCAAAGTGGAACGCGGTGTACTTACCAGCAGGGTTGCTGGGGCTAATTGAGACCATCACACTCAGCCCGGGAGTAGGGGAAAACCCTGGGTGGGCTGGGAACTGGGTCCCTAAGCCCCTGAACTGTGACTGCCATTGCTCCCTCCCCTAGGACTGCCCAGCCGGAGCGGGAGTCGCACCGCTGCCCACAGCTGGAAGCGCTGCAGGAGCAGCTGAGGCTGCTGGAGGAGGAGAATGAGCAGCTGAGAGAGGAGGTGCGGATGGGAAAGAGGGCCGCGCCCTGTGTGCAGGACAGGGGGTGTTGACTCCCCTGCCCCTTCCTCTTTCCCTCCCTCCAGGCCTCTCAGCTCGACTACCTGGAGGAAGAGGAGCAGATGCTCATCCTGGATTGTGTGGAGCAGTTTTGTACGTGAACTTGTGACCTGGGGGGAGGGGGCTGTCCCAAGGAGCAGAGTGAAGGACCCCGGACTCTCCTGGAGACTTGCGTTCAAGTCACAGCTCTGGCACTTCCCAGCTGTGTGAGCTTGGCCAATTTCCTTGACCTCTCTGAACCTTCATCTTTAGAAGGGGAGTGAATGATCTTGGTGCTGCTGACCTCTCCAGGGGTTATGGCTTTGTGCAAACTGTAGTGAGCTGTACAGAAGCTGTGGGGCTCCTCTAAGCTTGTCTTCTTTTGTTTTGGGGGAGGGGCGAGGAGGGGACTAGAAGCGAGGAAGGGAGGGAGCCATGAGCTGCTAGAGACCAGGCAGTCCGGGGCACTGGGACTGGGGCAGTTCAGAGTCATATATTAGGCAGTGGCTGTGCGGCACTGCGTTTATAAAGATGGGCGAGGCACAGTGTTGGTCCCTGAGATGCCCGGGCCTAGCTGGGGAGGTGCAGACTCTAGGTGGCAACAGCTGAACCCCCAGCCTGGCCTTCCTTACCCCTGGCTTCCCTGAATCCCCTTACCCCCACCCTTCCCTGGTCCCAGGCCCCTGGAGTAGGCGCCAGTTCCCCTATTCTGTCACTTCTACTTCCTAGGAATGGGGGGAAAGCATAGGAAAGGCTCAAGTCTCTTCTGTCTTCCCCACCCCAGCTGCCTCTCCGCTGGTCTCCCCATCCCCACTCTTCCCCTTCCAGGCCCTTCTGCACACAGACCAAAAGAGTCTTCTAAAATCAAATCTAATGGTGTCACTTCTCTGCCTAAAACCCCCAGATAACTTCCCATTTGCCAGAAGGATCTGTCTCCATCTCCCTACCCCAGCCGTAGTGGTCTGGGCCCTGCCCACTGCCCCAGCCCCTCCTTCGTTCTGTCCTGTGATGCCTCTGGGCCTCTCCACACCCCTCCTGTCTTCCCTTCTGCCTTGAGAGCCCCATTTGCCCCGCGAAGGCTGGTCTGGCTGCTGCAGCTGTGACCCCCCGGTGCACCCTTTACGTGCGCTGCATCCCAGCCCGTAATGTGCACGATTGTGATTTCTTTCTCCCTCAGTCTTTGCATGAGTCTTGAGCTCAGTGTGGGCTGGGGTCAGGTCTTGCCGACTGCTCACCTAGCACCCGGCTCTGTCAGTCAATAAACGTTTATTGAAAAGAAGACCCAAGTGAGGGATGCTAGGCCTTGTGGAACCTCGGGTACTCAGCGGGAGCTGAGGGGTGCAGGCAGACAGAGGCGTCTGGGAGCCTGAGGGCCTGGGGAGCCAGGGCTGACCCTTCCCCATTGCTCCCCAGCGGAGGCCAGCCAGCAGATGGCTGAGCTGTCAGAGGTGCTGGCGCTCAGGATGGAGAACTATGAGGAGCAGCAGAAGGAGATGGCCCAGCTGCGGACCCAGGTCATGAAGCTGCAGCAGCGCTGCCAGTCGGTGTGTAGGGGTGTGAGCGGGGCTCCGTCTTGTCACCGTCCCATGGCCCCTGGGGACCCCGTCCCCTTCTCCCTCCCCCCACCCCATGGAGCTCTAGGCTCAGAGGCCCAAGGCCCCCTCTCTGTGTCCCGGTCAGAGTTGGAGGAGACCTCAGAGAGCCCCTAATCCTGCCACCTCATCCCAAGTTGGGGACTGATTCCAGAGTCATAGAGTGTTCCAGGAACCAGGCCACATGACTCCCCCACCTTCTTTGACCTCATTCCATATGACTTCTTATTTAAAGGGCTACCAAAGACTCTCTGATATGCCTGACAAGACCTGCCAGAAGCAGTGGGTGCGTGGGAATGGGGAGGTCTGGGGTGGGGGTTCACCGGTCTTGGGTCTTTCCAGTATGGGGCTGAGACAGAGAAGTTGCAGCAGCAGCTGGCTTCGGAGAAGGAAATCCAGATGCAGCTCCAGGACCAGGTGAGGCACCCCCTGGGCTCCTGGCCTGGCTCTTTAGAGCCCTCAGCCCCAAGCAGTGGGGTGCTGGGGTCCTTGGGCAGCTGCCTGACTCTCCTGAGAGGACGAGCTCCTTGCAGTGGGACCTGGGTCTGTCCTTTCCATCCCCTCCGTCTCTGGCACAGGGCCTGGCAGGTGGCTGTTCAGTTGGAGTCTGAGTGGGGTGGAGGCCAGGGTCCTGCCCAGGGTCTCCCTGCATGTCATTATGTGGGTCTGGTGTCTGGGCTGGGTGTGCCTGGGTCCTGGCAGAACCTGTGGGGGTTCCCAGCTGCAGGACCTGCGGGAGAAGTACACGGAGTGCGGGGGCGTGCTGATTGAGACCCGGGAGGAGGCGAAGACCCCCGCCAGCAAGCCCGGGCACCCGCTGGCTCCGTCACCCGCTACGCATACACTGTACCTCTGGTGAGGCCCCCTGGCTGCCTGCCTTTCAACCTCTGTGCGCCCTGTGTCTACCCGCAGTCCCCTCCTGTGCCTAGATGTACGCAGGGTGGAAGGTTCTGCAGGGATCCTCTGGTAACGTTCCCCCCTCTCCACCTCAGGAGGTGCTTCCTGATTTCCAGGAGACCCTGGCTGAGGAGCTCAGGACATCTCTAAGGAGGATTATCTCAGACCCTGTGTTTTTTATGGAAAGGTGTGCTCCCGGCCCCCAGACCCTTGCCACTCCTGCACTCATCCTGGCCTGCCTGGTGGGCAGCAGCCTTTCTGGTGGTGGGAAGGGTTTGCCCTCAGGCTCTGACCTCCCTTCCCCCGTGGTGCCCCTCCTCCTGCCTCCTCCACCCACCTAGTTGGTCCTCCCGCCTCTTCCACTCAACGTCTTTCCTCTGTGCACACAGTCTGGGTCCATCATTTCTCCCCGGGGTTTTCCTGCATGACAAGGCCCCAGGGACTTTGCACTTTCAGCTTCTGTTGACAGTGAAAGCCCTTTTCTCTGTTGAAGGAATTATGAGGTGACTCCAGAGGGGACGTCAGACCCGGGGTAAGCCAGCCAGGGGCTCCCCCTTCACCTGCCCTCACCTTTCAGTGGCCAGATAACCACCTTCAGCTGGTTCTGCGATCCTAAAACCCTAGAGAAGGGCCTGCTCTCTGGGGTGGCTGGGCTGAGTTGTTCTGGGAAGGAGGTGCCTCTCTTGCCTTTACCTCTTGCCGCGTAGGTGGCTGTCTGCCTGGAGGCTTCTCCAAGTCGGGACCAAAGCCTTGCCTTCACCTGGCCAAGGGCTGAGAGGCTAATGGGCACTGGCCTAGAAGCTGGGAACAGCTGGGACTGAGTCCCAGCTTGATCCCTTTACTGGCTGTGTGTCCTTGGGCAAGCTACTTGACCTGTCTGAGCCCTGCTGAAATGGATTTGTTCCTATGGCCACTAGCTGTGGGATGGCTTGTGAAGGTTAAATAATGAACGATGTGGACAGAGGGGACGTTATTCCTGTTGGTCGGTTCCGTGTGGCAGGGTTGGGGGACTGGGGGAAGGCGGGGCCTAGGCAGTGTTGGTGACCCATTCTTTCTACCAGGTTCACGAGCTGGGTGTTTGAAGCCTTGAGGCTGGTACCCAGCTGCCTTCCCCCTTGGCTGGGATGACTGGGAGTAATCACTGTGCTGACTTGCAGGAGGGCAGGAGAACTCCTCAGCCCCAGTGGCTGGAGATGTCCCGGAAGAGTGAAGATGGGGGCTCTGGCCTTGGTGAGGGTAGGGAAAGACTTTCCTGTCTCCCTGCCCAGATACGAGCTGCGCCACAGTCAGGAGCGAGAGCGGGGACAGGGGTTCGAGGCCGAGGAAGGTTTGATGCCAGCAGAGGATTTCGTGCCTGCGGAGGATTTGGTGCCCGAGGAGGAGCTGGGGGCCACACAAGACATGGTGCCAGCCGAGGAGGGGGGCACAGAAGAGGCAGAGCTGGTGTCCGAAGAGGCTGAGGCCTGGGAGGAGGTGGAGCCCGAGCTGGATGAGGCAGCACGAATGAGTGTGGTGACCTCAGCTCTGGAGGCCAGCAGCTTGGGCTCCTCGCACCTGGACATGAAGTATGTCCTCCAGCAACTGGCCAGCTGGCAGGACGCCCATTACAGGCGGCAGCTGAAGCAGAAGATGGTCCAGAAAGGTGAGTGCTCCCGTGGGGGCCTCCCTCGGGCCAGCCGGACAAGCTGCAGATCATCGAGCCGATGACAGGTGAGGGTAGGTGAGCCCCCCAAGTGCTCACTTACCCCAGCCTGGCCCCTCTCAGCGTGCTGATTTGCATGGACTTCGCATATCACTTACATAGGCACCTCAGGTCCCCCTCAGTGGGAACTGTGCCCCCCCCCACCCTGTGCTTATTTATGTGGAATTTGCATAGGATTCCAGACCTCCACCCCCTTTCCTCCTAGGGGCTGGGCTGGGGGTCAGGGCTGGGACTGCTGGCCCCACCGCACCTCAGCTTCCTGTCTCTGCCCACCCCCTTCCCCTATCCCCTACCCCTGCCTCCCCCATCCCCAAGGCTCCCCAACCCTGCA